TGGGCTAAGGTTCAAACACATGATCCCAGCCCGGTCAACTCCACAAAAACAGGTGGATTTTGTTACTGCTATTCAATTCATAAAAAGAACCTTACAAGCTACAACTCTTGCTTTGTTATTTTTGGTAAGGGAGCAGGAGTACAAAAAAACATAACATCAACAATGTACCCAAATAAATAAATAAATAAAAGGGAAAGAAAGAAAGAAAGAGAGAGAGAACATCAAAGAGACATCTAAGATTTTGAGGAACATAACAGAGACAAGACAACACCGCTGTAATACAAGTAAAATTCCGATGGGACTAGGAGAAAAAAGAGGAACTTAGAAGAAAAAGATGAATGGCGACCATGAAATCAAGGAGCCGGTCTCCTTGATGCAAAACCATGTCTGCCCCGTCTGATATTGGAGTGGCGTTTCTTGTAAACCAAACAGCAACAGACTAACACTCCGGCCCCAGCAAACACACCAAGAACTATTCCCGCCTTCTGTATGCCACTCAGCTTACCATAGGACCCTTTTTTTGACTCTGTTGAATCAATAGAGGATATGGGAAGGGGACTAAGGATTGGAGCAGGTGAATTGGGGGTCCTTGCTGCAATTTTAGGAGAGATTAAATCCGGTGTCGGTACACTCTTTGAAGAAGGTGAAGTGGGGCTTGGTGCGGGTGCGGGTACGGGTGCTGGCGACGTGGAAGTTGCAGAAAGAAGATGAACTAAAATAACAAAGCAAAATTTACAGAAAATTGCCATGGAACAAACAGGGTAAAACAGAGAAACTTGAATGGAATAAAGGGCGAACGTTGAGACAGTAGTACAGAGGAAAACTCTCTGAGTAAATTTCTTAGCCTTGTACCTCGTTATATTGGAGGAAATTAATTAAGAGCTTAGTTTCCGCCTTCTTTTCGTATGGATTTTTATGAGAGAAGAAAGACTTGACTTGATCGTTAATTGGTGCTTCGGCCTTCAATGCAGAAAATAGTTTATGGTTCTTAATCTTCCAGCTGGAGCTTTGACCTTAGTAGATAGTTTTTAGGACCAAATTGTGTCGCAGTAACGAAAAAACTAGAGTGCTATCCACGGAAGTGCTAGTATTCAAATCAGTACAGTTATGATTTCAAAAATGCCCTACCAATTACGGAATGTGTCTCTGGTTTCCAGCTGCTTTCTCTTTGGATTTTCTGAAACTAAACATCATCGTCAACCGGCCTTGATCATCAACAGGTACTTCCAAGCACAAAAGACTTCCCTGCTTCAGTTCAGTTGACTAGCATTAATTCACATGACAGGATAACAAGCTACAGAGAGAAAACTAAAAGATGGTGTATTTTATTTAATTGATGCTATTGTTGTTTATTGAAACACATTCAGAAAGGAACATAGGAAACTGAGAAACATTTCTAAGGATTAGATGGATTCATACATAATCTATGGCTAGAATTCTAGAACACACCCAAATCACCCAGGCCTGATAACATAATTCATAACCAGGCAGAAATTTCAGGGTGGAAAGCGTCATATCCGAGGGGTGAGAAAGCCAGAGGAAATGGATTGGAGGCAGGCGACCGTGGAGTTGGAGAGCAGAGAAAATACAAGGAGTTGATGAAGAAGAAGAAGATTGTGGTGATGGGTGCCATTGCTTTCGCAACCTTTAGTCCACAGACACAGAGAGCATCTTTGTTGCTTTTAAAGGGGCAGTTACTTAGGGAATGAAGCATTGTATAATTGTTAAAGTAGCTACAGACCAAACAAAAATGATGGAAGGATAAAGGGTCGGTTGCTTCTAGTAAGGGGAAAAGGAAAAGGTGTTTCGTAGAGAAGATAAGGAATGATGTCCCAATGTGCCATGATAAAATAAGTTTCAATCATTTCCAGGGTAGGACCATTTCTAAAGTTGATACGTTTTCAGTTGCTTCAAAGGTTTACTCATCTCCATCTGATACTCTTTCAAGTTTGAGAAAACGCCATATGTCCATAACATTATAGCTGCTTCGCATTGGGATTTTCTAATTGTTCTGAACGTCATTGTATATATCACCGGTGGAAATGGAATGACCGGCCTTGATCGTGGTAATTTGATTTGGGATTGTTAGATTTTTGAGGTAAGAAGAAAGGGTTGAGAGAGGACTTGGAGGGGAGTACAACTTAGAACATGACATAGAAAATAAAATCATAAACATGGAAGGGTGTAGACATTCACCCAACCGGAGAGGAGAAACCATGCTTCTCTTTTTCAATTTTCAGTCAACTTTTTCCTTCCTTTTTATAGAGGAAGACTACACATAAAACAATAATATTTTTCTACCTAATACAATAACCATTAACTACCCAAAATATTGACTAAAATGTTGAAGTTTGCTGCCATTTCTTGTAACTCATGTGCAGCTCCATGCTGCTGTCACTTTGCTGCTACTGTGAAGTCATGTTGCAGCATCATTTAGCAGCTCTCATTTCATTGCATTTTCAGCTTT